GGTGGAGGGGACGTACAGGTGGCCCAGTCGTCCATGCGCCGCAGTTCGCTATGAAAGTTGCGTGCCTTGGGCACTCCGGAAATTATGATCTCTGGATTCAAATCCCGGTTCACCCCGATTATGTTTCTAGGTTTGTCATCACCATACCCCCACGTTGGTTTCACCCAAGTCGTAAGGCCAGGTTCACACAGTGCCGATGTTGTCTCCCGTTTGAGATCAGACAGCGCTAAGACACGAAAAGTGAAAAGGTCGGATTACTATCCTCAATGATCTTGAATGTCCTATCATTGTCTGGACGCAGTCGTGTACGTTCGTAACAGAGTCCTACGGATCGGGAAAGGTCCAGAGAGGTCGGCCAAGCACTTCCGACAGTATCACATACATCCAAATATATGTTTCACATACATAACAATATATGTTTCACATACATAAAAAATATATGTTTCACATACAAAACTATATGTTCCACATACATAACAATATGTTTTACATACATAACAATATGTTTCACATACATAACAATATGTTTCACAAACATAACAACATGTTTCACGTACATAACAACATGTTTCACTACATTACAATGTATGTTTCACATACATAATAATATGTTTCACATACATAACAATATATGTTTCACATACGTTACAGAATAACAAAAGTGATTTAATATTTCTCTCGCTATGTGAAGCCCGCTAGGTAAGTGTTTTATGAGGAGGTGTGAGGTTTTATTGGCTGTAATCGGATCCTGCAAGGCCTACTTGAGTCTCTTTCATTGTAGTGAGATTGTAATCTGGGATGAGAGTAATGCCTTTATGACTGTCTATTTAACGTGTTTTATTAGACTCTGCGGTCAGTTAGGGTCAGATGCGGAGGTTGCAATACCCACATCCGTCCATAGCGAAACAGAAAATACAGTTTATATCTAGAGATACCCCGTTTATCCGAACGATAGAGCTTTCACAGATATCGTCCGTAGTAAGAGGTGCCCGGAGTAAGAGGTGTCCGGAGTACCAGGTGTCCGGAATAACATGTTTTCGTAGTAACAGGTGTCCGTAATAACAGGTGTCGGGAGTAACAATAAATATAAAACGTCAATTAAAGAGTATAACCAGTCTTGATTATCCTCCAAAACAGACTCCATTAGATGTGAAGGGCAAAATAGCTGTGAAAATTACATTGAAAGACCACTGAAAATCAGTGATGACACCAGGTGTTAGCGAAAGGTAATCATGTCCTGGCCTATCGGTGGCACCGGCCAGGGTTACAGTATAGGACACTGTGTGTACAGCGTGGCCCGTATACTCAGTATACAAGTAGTGCGCTCTTAGCAAGAATCCAAATGCTATATTGTATGGACTCCGAATGTGTCATCGTTTGGAAGATTTGTTTTCCTTCCCACTTGTGGCCTTCAGAACTTCCAACCATCGTTTACTTACAGAGACTGGTCGCTGGTTACTGAGAGAAGTTACTGTGACTCACTAGCGATAGCTGATGAGTTTCCCAACCTCTTTAAATGTCAGTATAGATATGCATTTCTTTGAACTATGTGTGTCCGTACCAATATAGATTGTAAACATTGTTTTCTTGCAAAATACGAAATAAAGAATAAAATCAATATTATTGCATAAAGGTCGCCATGAAGCTGTCATTTAATTAATGACAGGTATGTAGGCTTTATGTGACAAAACACAGGAAACTATACATTGTGTGTAGGCTTTGTGCGACAAAACACAGGAAAGTATACATTGTGTGAAAGCTTTGTGTGACAAAACACAGAAAAGTATACATTGTGTGTAGGCTTTGTGTGACAAAACACAGGAAAGTATACATTGTGTGTAGGCTTTGTGCGACAAAACACAGGAAAGTATACATTGTGTGAAAGCTTTGTGTGACAAAACACAGAAAAGTATACATTGTGTGTAGGCTTTGTGTGACAAAACACAGGAAAGTATACATTGTGTGTAGGCTTTGTGTATCAAAACACAGGAAAGTATACATTGTGTGAAAGCTTTGTGTGACAAAACACAGGAAAGTATACATTGTGTGTAGGCTTTGAGTATCAAAACACAGGAAAGTATACATTGTGTGAACGCTTTGTGTGACAAAACACAGGAAAGTATACATTGTGTGTAGGCTTTGTGTAACAAAACACAGAAAAGTATACATTGTGTGTAGGCTTTGTGTAACAAAACACAGAAAAGTATACATTGTGTGTAGGCTTTGTGCGACAAAACACAGGAAAGTATACATTGTGTGAAAGCGTTGTGTATCAAAACACAGGAAAGTATACATTGTGTGAAAGCTTTGTGTATCAAAACACAGGAAAGTATACATTGTGTGTAGGCTTTGTGTACCAAAACACAGGAAAGTATACATTGTGTGAAAGCTTTGTGTATCAAAACACAGGAAAGTATACATTGTGTGTAGGCTTTGTGCGACAAAACACAGGAAAGTATACATTGTGTGAAAGCTTTGAGTATCAAAACACAGGAAAGTATACATTGTGTGTAGGCTTTGTGTATCAAAACACAGGAAAGTATACATTGTGTGTAGGCTTTGTGTAACAAAACACAGAAAAGTATACATTGTGTGTAGGCTTTGTGCGACAAAATGTGTAGGCTTTGTGCGACAAAACACAGGAAAGTATACATTGTGTGAAAGCTTTGTGTATCAAAACACAGGAAAGTATACATTGTGTGAAAGCTTTGTGTATCAAAACACAGGAAAGTATACATTGTGTGTAGGCTTTGTGTACCAAAACACAGGAAAGTATACATTGTGTGACAGCTTTGTGTAACAAAACACAGAAAAGTATATATGTGTGTAGGCTTTGAGTATCAAAACACAGGAAAGTATACATTGTGTGAACGCTTTGTGTGACAAAACACAGGAAAGTATACATTGTGTGAAAGCTTTGTGTAACAAAACACAGGAAAGTATACATTGTGTGTAGGCTTTGTGCGACAAAACACAGAAAAGTATACATTGTGTGTAGGCTTTGTGTAACAAAACACAGAAAAGTATACATTGTGTGTAGGCTTTGTGTAACAAAACACAGAAAAGTATACATTGTGTGTAGGCTTTGTGCGACAAAATGTGTAGGCTTTGTGCGAAAAAACACAGGAAAGTATACATTGTGTGAAAGCTTTGTGTATCAAAACACAGGAAAGTATACATTGTGTGAAAGCTTTGTGTATCAAAACACAGGAAAGTATACATTGTGTGTAGGCTTTGTGTACCAAAACACAGGAAAGTATACATTGTGTGACAGCTTTGTGTAACAAAACACAGAAAAGTATATATGTGTGTAGGCTTTGTGTAACAAAACACAGAAAAGTATACATTGTGTGTAGGCTTTGTGCGACAAAATGTGTAGGCTTTGTGCGAAAAAACACAGGAAAGTATACATTGTGTGAAAGCTTTGTGTATCAAAACACAGGAAAGTATACATTGTGTGTAGGCTTTGTGCGACAAAACACAGGAAAGTATACATTGTGTGAAAGCGTTGTGTATCAAAACACAGGAAAGTATACATTGTGTGTAGGCTTTGTGTACCAAAACACAGGAAAGTATACATTGTGTGAAAGCTTTGTGTATCAAAACACAGGAAAGTATACATTGTGTGTAGGCTTTGTGCGACAAAACACAGGAAAGTATACATTGTGTGAAAGCGTTGTGTATCAAAACACAGGAAAGTATACATTGTGTGTAGGCTTTGTGTAACAAAACACAGAAAAGTATACATTGTGTGTAGGCTTTGTGCGACAAAATGTGTAGACTTTGTGCGACAAAACACAGGAAAGTATACATTGTGTGAAAGCTTTGTGTATCAAAACACAGGAAAGTATACATTGTGTGAAAGCTTTGTGTATCAAAACACAGGAAAGTATACATTGTGTGAAAGCTTTGTGTATCAAAACACAGGAAAGTATACATTGTGTGTAGGCTTTGTGTACCAAAACACAGGAAAGTATACATTGTGTGTAGGCTTTGTGTGACAAAACACAGGAAAGTATACATTGTGTGAAATCTTTTTGTAACAAAACACAGGAAAGTATACATTGTGTGAAAGCTTTGTGTAACGAAACATAGAAACTATACATTGTGTGAAAGCTTTGTGTGACAAAACACAGGAAACTATACTTTGTGTGACAGCTTTGTGTAACGAAACATAGAAACTATACATTGTGTGTAGGCTTTGTGTAATAAAGCACAGGAAACTGTACCATTTGTTTGTTTCATTATGGCGTATTTAGGCCACGTGTAGTCTGTCTTACAGACCCTGATACAAATATATATCAAAAATAGCCCATGCAAGTCTATAATGTTTGGCAAGTCTAGATCACTGCAGTATCAGGAAAAATGAAAATGAAGCGAGTCACTGGGCTCCTTTTTATTATATTTTTTTTTATGTACGATATGTTCAATTCAGAGACTAAATGTTAGTCTAGGCCACGTGCTTCTTTAGGTCTTCCAGACTTTTAGCGTAACTCGATAACTCTCTTTATGAAATTTAATTATCGTAAATCGTAACCACCATTCAGTGCAATATTTTCACAATCCCCCTAATACCTGCTCTTGTCACACGCTGGTATTGAGGACAGGGTTATATGGAGGGGGGTCAGGATGGGGTTTGGGAGAGGGGTTAGATGTGAGAATATTGTAAACTAAATATTTAAAGACGCATTCATAGTCTTCGTGACACACCTTTTACCGCAGTTTAAACATTAATGCCATATCCTAATCCTTTATCATCAAGCTGTTTTACACAGGTTGAGTAGATAATGGGCGATACGGACGCTCCCTGCGGGTAGCTCGGCACTTTACCTCGGGGTGAACCGACCTCCCTGGGGAATCATGGGCAGTCAGGGTGACTCGACCCCCGGAGAACCACGACACTCGGGGTTACCCTACCCCTGGAGAATCAAGAGAGATTTAGGGTGGCCCGACCCCTGGAGGATCAAGGGAGACTAAAGGGTATATCCTGGCTGTTTCAGACTGTGGCCTGGCGTGACGATGCTGTCTGGTGTGTGTGTTATCCTGGTCCTGACCCTCGGGCAGGCGGTGTTGGGGGAGGAGGCGGGTTATCGCAGGTGAGTTACACAGTGCCAGTGCTATACAATCTTTCAGTGACGTTTCAATAGCTGAAGTATCAATGAATACATTTGACGTATGGATTCAACGTTGGTTTTTTTCAAAGAAATAAGAAGAGTGAAGGAGTTGAAATTTATAGATCATTTGTCTTCAGTGTCAGTATTGTTTCTTTGAGAGGCATTTAGAAGTGGGAGTACCAAGTAAGGATAAGATGATGAATCACTTGCTTGATGACGGTGTTAGAATCTACACCGAAACGTCGCTCTTAATTGTAACAAGAAGTTGTTCATCCTTATATCTTATACTTAGTCAGTATTGTTTATCAGTTTTGTTTATCATTATTAGTAGTATTTCTACCTTTTTTGCAAAATAGTTCACCGTTATAAGAAGTTTATTAAAAAATATGTTTGTTTAATGAAGTGTTACTCTGTGTGTTGACGACAGACATTGAAGTAAACAATACAACATGTCGCCGATTTCACAACGTGTACACTTTCTATTGCCCAATATTGAACATTAGATATAAATACGCCGATTGAGGTTACATTTAACCAGAGTCATCTAAACACCTTTGGGGTTAGTATTTCGGAAGTGTTTATAAGCGTAAGCAAAACCAATGATTTCTTCTCATTTTAGCAAGTAAATTACTTTTAAATTACGAAGAATAGGTCCTTATTTAGTAAAATAATATCCGGATATGACAATAATGAATTTCCGTAGTTTGGATTCCTTACAAACACTCCCCGGAATACCAGAATATAAATGAGTTTTATATCTAAACATGTCTAATATCTGAACACGTTTAGATTCTGTACATGTTAAGGTTGATAGGGGTGTCAGAGCTGCGCCTCGTTCTACTGTAGTGTTAAACACAGCCCCAAACACGTTAAAAGTAAACATGGGTAGCCTGTGGTTGTACCTCAACACATTTTACAGTAAATGCAGGTCCTTAAACGGCACACAAAGCCCTCGCGTACATTCAGGTGTGTCTGAAGTAGGTTCAGTATCTCGGCAGTGAGTTGTCCAGATTCATCTTTGATAATGCTGGTATACTTCAATAAGTAACATTTGTTAAACAAACAAGCTAGATTCAAGGCCTTGGGGGTAAACTGTAATGTTTGTGTTGGGTTTTACATTACTTTGAACAGTTAGTGAGTGCCAAAGTAGAGATAATTTATGGATTACAACTTCTATATATGTTGTAAAGGCGACGTCTCCTTGCTTGACAACGGTATAAGGATCTATACCGAAACATCGCCTTTAGAGTAAATACAAGTGTTGTTCTCCATAAATTATCTCCACTTTGTCATCCGTCAACTTCTAAGTAATGCCTATCAAACAATTCAGTTAGTGAGTGAGTGAGTGAGTGAGTGAGTGAGTGTGTTGGGTATAACGACGCTTTGAAGAGTATTCCAGATATATAACGGCGTGTCAGCTTAATGTGAGTGAGTGAGTTGGGTTTAACGCCGCTTTTAACAGTATTCTAGTTATATCGCGGCGTGTCAGCTTAATGTGGGAGGAAAGCCCGAAGTGGTGCAGGTCTCAGACGTTTACACCTTTGGTAAAACCCACGAGCACAGGTATGGTGCTGACAAACCTAGAAACAATATCGGGGGAACCGGGATTCAAACCCCCGAGCATGCACAAGGGACGCAACTCTGCTCTGCGAATTGCAGCGCCTTAGACTGCTGGGACATCCGTGACACCACCATGGAGAATGTTTCAGCCTATCAGAGTACCCATTTCAATGTGGGGGAAAGCCTCCGATCTCCCAAGAACATGTTTCCATTGGTGAAACCCACCAGCATGGCAAACCAATTTGCCACAATTCAAGAATCATAATAAAGGCGAACCAGGTATTGGAACCCACACTCCTAGGATCCTGGTATATCCAAGGGACGCGACTCTACACAGCGAATTGCGACGCCTGTGCCACCCAGCGCTTATACAGACACATGCCATCACTCTGAACCACACCAAGGATGAACTTTGCTGTCCACGCTGTTGCTTTATTATATATGTTATATATATATGTATCCTATCCCATCCTGCGGCCGTGTCTTATAGAATATTGAGGTGAGGTGAAATGGGGTTTAACGCCGCGTCCAAGATTATTGCACTTATATAGCGACGTGCATGTACGTGTGTGTGTTTGTGTGGCTGCTTGTACTAGTCCGGACTGATGCCGATTTATAGTGCTAGCTCACTGAGATACCATGCCGCAGTTTAACATGAATATCCCACTCAGACACAGTATACTGACTCCGAGCCGACCAGTCCTTGTTTTAGCCCCTTAATGCCGAGCGTCAGACAGGGTAACAACAAGTACCATCTTTTAACGTCTTTTGGTATGACGCGGCCGGGGATCGAACCTCGGACCTTCCGCTCTCCGGGCGGACGCTCTACCACTAGACCACGGAGGCAGTCTGTCTTTTAGAGTGAGCAGGGATACTGACAAGCCATTACTTGGAGAAGGGCGATGAGCGAATGCGGACGTGTACAAATAAGGTGTTTAAATGTATGGCAAAGAGCGGAGTCGAGTGTGTTTGGATATACTTATCCTGCAGTCCTTTGATGACATGATATAAAGGTGCATTAGAGTCGTTTCAAAAGATATTCTTCTGTTTTCAACCTAGTTTTAGACACAAAAATGATGGCATTTGGAAGATGAGGCAAATGTACACCAACTAGTATTTTGTTAAATAGTACGAACATACACATTGGGTCCACTGTATGTATTAACGGAGTTCCTTATCAAAAGTCATTCAACCTGATGATCTCACAGTTTGAGATACCTTATCTGCTTTCCCATAAGGTATAGAAAAATCAGTAACATTGATGTAAACCTTTGCAAGTACCTTATAGTATCAATGTATTCCATCTCTGACTCTGTGTGTGTGTGTGTGTGTGTGTGTGTGTGTGTGTGTGTGTGTGTGTGTGTGTGTGTGTGTGTGTGTGTGTGTGTGTGTGTGTGTGTGTGTGTGTGTGTGTGTGCTCAATCCGAGAAACAAGTCCTTGTTTTATCCCCATAATGCAAGGCAGGGTAACAACAAGGGCCATCTTTGAACGTCGTTTTGAATGACGCGGCCGGGAAACGAACCACCAATCTTCTGCTCTCTGAGCGGACGCTCCGACAACAAGGATCATTGTGACGGATAAGTGTCGTTTCGTATACATTAAACTACGGTTATAACGAATTCAAAGGTACCAATAATTTCTGTTCGTTATAACCGTAGTTTGTTATAAGCGTTTCAACGAAAGGATACCGCCAATGGCCAGGACCAAAAACAACAGTTCGTTATATACGTCATTTCGTTGTAAGCGTGTTCGTTATAAACGTAGTTTACTGTATGTGTAAACGTTCCCAGCACAAACGCAGGAACGTGGAGGTTTCCGGACAGATGTGGTTTAACTGAATGCATTGTTCGCATTAATGGGGTTTAAACTGTATGTTATTGATCGCACTAATGAGGCTTCACTGTATGCATTGTTTCAATTAATGAGGTTTAACTGTATGCATTGTTTGCATTAATGAGGTTTAACTGTATGCATTATTCGCATTTATGAGGTTTCACTGTAAGTAATTGTTCGCTTTAATAAGGTTACACTGAATGCATTTTACGCAGTTATGAGGTGTCACTGTAAGTAATTGTTCGCATTAATGAGGTTTTACAGTCTGTATTGTTCGCATTAATGAGGTTTCACTGTATGTGTTGTTCATATTAAGTTTCTTATTAAGCATTTCAGAGAGAGAACAATTGTTATGATCCGTTTGACTGAGCTCATGTTTGACCAAACAGTAAGACTAATGTTACGCCAACTAGACTCGGGGAAATTGTCACCACGAGGCAAATACTGACCTCGGGTCAAGTAGGAAATTACAAGTTTACAAGATACTGCGTAACACCCTGGGTATACAAGTAATCCAGAGTCGGATACCCCCCGGGTCAGATGGGAGATCGTAAACCACGTTACAGCTCCACCCCTTCAGGGACTTCATCTGTGACGCAATAATTGATGTTGTATGTCACTGCGCGGTTGTAAACAAATTAAAGAATAGCCGACGGGATTGGAAGATATTACGGATTATCAGTTCCGAGTGAATTATTGTGTTGAAGTTCCGAGCAATGGAGCAATTAGAACGAATAAGCCAATCAGCGCGCAGTAAGAGTTATAATGTCAGTAAGAATTATTGAAAATAATTTCCGTGTCCTCATAGGTATATCTTTTTTAAAATGACATTTATTGAGTGTTCAGATTATGAAAAATATATAACGTACGAAAACAATTCTGATTCTGAAGCTGCTTCTTTAAACAGGAATTTAATTGAGTTTGTTTTCAGTACCCTGTTACAGGAAGTCCCGCAGCCCGCCCATGGGTCGCCGAGTAGGTCATTTATTATGGGGAAGGGATGGGTGGGGGTACGCAGTGAGATTGGCCTTAGGGCTGTATCATATTTTGCCGACGGACCCCTCCCCTCTCCATTTTATGTGATCCAATCCCACCCCAGCCACCATCCCCTATACCAAATGAGCAGTCCCTAACTAATGTTCAAATTTAAAAACATTTTTTCATGAAAAATAAATAAAATAAAGAAGAATAAGTGGCCAGTCCCTAAGATGGGCTGGGTTGGGCTGGGCTGGGCTGGGTTGGGTTGGGTTGGGTTGGGCTGGGCTGGGCTGGGCTGGGCTGGGCTGGGCTGGGTTGGGTTGGGCTGGGCTGGGCTGGGCTGGGTCGGGCTGGGTTGGGCTGGGCTCGGCTCCGCTCGGCTGGGTTGGGCTGGGCTGGGTTGGGTTGGGCTGGGCTGGGCTGGGCTGGGTTGGGCTGGGCTGGGCTGGGCTGGGTTACTGACAAGGTCCGTTGCGTGTCGCCGTATCCAAAAGTAAACTGGTTCGTCTGTTGACTGGCTCAGCAAGTGTAACGGTTTAAGCCCTAATAGTTCAGGTAGACAGGAGCCCAGTCAAACATCTCCCCCACACATTAACCTGCTAGTGATATACTTCTGCTTCTTCAGCTACAAGTTGGTCAAGGTGGATGCGCCCTCGGAGCTGAAACTTCGGGCAATAGTGAGCGGCCGAGACTGGGTAACTACAACACTTGGTTTCCTTATACAACTCAACCAGTAAGATACACAGTCCGGGTATTCTAGTCGTGCACTACGGAGCCTACTGGTTCAACCGTCAAGCTGACGACTCCGGCTCGATTTCTTATATGTGTACGCTCTGTGGACGCCATTTCTGGTTTTCGTGCTGGAATATTGCTAACAACGGCTTTTTCCTCTACCTACCATTCTTACTTACCAATACCCCGACCAGCGGGTATCGGGTGGCTATATATGTAGAATATGTCTGTTTGTCAGCGGAAAAATATGTCACACTTTCGACCATTAGACATTTTATGACTGTGATAGACTTTACCCTGAACCTCAGCACTCACTCATCCACCACTCCCTCTCCAATCTCCCCCCCCCCCCCCCCCCCCCCCCCCACACACACACACACCACCACCACCACCACCACCACCCGCCACCACCCCACACACCACACACACACCACACACACACACCCGGAAACTGTAAGTTGATGTTCAGAAACGTGGTCGCGTGGTGATAATCCGGTGGCATAAATAAGTAACAGCACGGATTAACAGGGTTTCGCTTTCATCAATTCGTCATGGATGAGATCATCCTTGTTATTCCAGGTGGATGTGTTTTCAAGCGAGGGGGTCAGTCTGACTGCAATGGTGCCGCCCCGACATCTAGCAGAGCTCATCCGGGTCGTCAAGAGTCAGGGAGGGAAGATCACCGTCCTACACGAAGATATGCAAAAGTAAGTGAAACCCCGTTAATCCGGACGGTAATGTTCCCAGTGAATGTCTGGATAAACGAATCAAATACTACGTCTATGCTGTATCTTTAGACGTTCGCAGCAGCAATCATCCACAACACCGGGTGTCCGCATAACGAACCAATGATAATGTGTCCATGTTGTATCTCTGAACGTGACCCGTGAAGATCCGGGGTAGAATAGGTCTTCGGCAACCCCTTGACTTTAAAGGCGACCATGCTTGTCGTAAGAGGTGACGGGATCGGGTGGTCAGGTTGGCTGACTTGGTTGATGCATGTCATCGTATCCCAACTGCATGGATCGATGTTCATGATGTCAATCACTTTATTGTCTGGTCCAGACTCGATTACTAGTATTTATAGACCGCCGTCACATCGCTGGAATAGTGCAGAGTGCTGCGTTAAACAACAAACATTATCATCATCAGCATCATCAGCATCATTTCTAGACGTTCGTAGCATCAATCATCCACAACACCGGGCGTCCGTTTAAACGAGACCGCCTCCGTGGTCTAGTGGTAGAGCGTCCGCCCGGAGAGCGGAAGGCCCGGGGTTCGATCCCCGACCGCGTCATACCAAAAGACGTTAAAAGATGGTACTTGTTGTTACCCTGTCTGGCGCTCGGCATTAAGGGGCTAAAACAAGGACTTGTCGGCTCGGAGTCTGTATACTGTGTCTGAGTGGGGTATTCATGTTAAACTGCGGCATGGTATCTCAGTGAGCTAGCACTATAAATCGGCATCAGTCCGGACTAGTACAAGCAGCCACACACACACACGCGCGCATGCACGTCGCTATATAAGTGCAATAATCTTGGACGCGACGTTAAACCCCTTTTCACCTCACCTCACAGTATAAACGAATCATTGATAGTGTGTCGATGTTGTATCTCTAGATGTTTATGTAATGATAGGCAAATGTATACATTGTTTGGTTTCTGAAAGTCTGTAGTACATATGTCATATGGACAGCCAAAGAATCAGTACGTCACACAAGAACACGTGTAGTGAATATAGCAACTTTGCAAGTTTTAATACTTTAGGGCATACTTAATCACCAAAGCTTGACCAAAATCAAATTTGAAAACCGAAAACGTAAACAGACGCTAAAAACATGATTCGTCACCAAAACGAAACATACGCCACTTGGGTTAAAATAAGTTCCCCGGTCTTTGTTGCGCTGCGCACAGATTTTTAATCGCATAACGGGGCTTTTCTGTCTGCTCATCCGTTTGACTGCCGTGTCCACTTTGCCAATAATTAGTAACAACTTCATCCAAGACATTCCCTCACTGACTGCCCAAGGGCGACATGAGATTTACCTAAACAGGATGTTAGTCATAAAAAGCTGGTTCCAGAAATTAATTGTCCCATTAATTATTCACGATGTCAAGATCAAGGTCGCTTCTCACACTCGTCAGTGTATGCCATGTTCTGTAGAGTAAACAACGTCACGTGGTCATCATTTCAGAAAAATAATCGGACAAAATCAACAATGCGAGTGAAATGGAACCAAGGCAGCTACTAGATTATTTATTTAGTTTGTTTGTTGTTTAACGCCGCACTCATCAATATTCCAGCTATATGACGGCGGTCTGTAAATAATCGAGTCTGGACCAGACAATCCAGTGATTGACATGCATCAACCAAGTCAGCGAGCCTGACCACCCGATCCCGTTAGTCGCCTTTTACGACAAGCAGAGTCACCTTTTACGGCAAGCATGGGTTGCTGAAGACCTATTCTACCCCGGAATCTTCACGGGTCCTAGATTATTTAGTAGATAGACGAATTGTCCCTTGCTCATGTATATTGGGCAATTGGTATTCGCAACAATATCGCATCAATTCTTCACTGTACTTGCCCTTTGAGGCATGTGTGCCATATTGCTTTAGTAATCTTACAAGTTGTAACAGTGTTCTGCTCGGTTGCATTGTTACAATATGTTACACTTTGTTTACAGAGTAACATTGTTAAACGTGTCTACACTGTTCTGCTGTTTTGAAGTGTTGCTCTATGCTAAACCGTGCTATAGAGCTGCATTGTTACACGTGGTGAACGTGTTCTGTTGTGTTGTCATGTTACAGTATGCTACACCGTGTTACAGGGTAGCAATGTCACAAATGACTACAGTGTTCTACATTGTTACAACATGTTACAGAGTAGCGTTGTTACAGGTGTCTACAATGTTCTGCTGAGTTACAGTGTTACAGCATGTTACACTATGTTACAGAGTAGCCGATGAGGAGTACCGAGAGAGGATGAGGCACAGACGGAGACGGGCCGTCACTACTAAAGAACAGGATCTCCTCACGTACCTCGACCTGGACAAGGTAGCACATGCTAGGAAGTGTACCACGTGTTGCTTATCGCATCACACAAAACGCGAATCACAAAACTTGTGTCACAGTCAGTCACACCATGAGCATCTCAGAGCCTGCATCACAACATGACCCATAGATCAAATGTCGTATATAACAGAATTTATCATACCTCAATGCCAGAATGGTGAGATCTGATTTGTCCACGTTATCTTGATTAAGTACTGTGTAACCCGCCTTGGAGGTAATAAACGTCTCAACAGGGAAATAAATCTCTTATACCCCGCCACGAGCAATGCTGGATATCTGAGAGGCAGAATAAATCCCTTATACCCCGCTTCAAAGCAAAAAGCCGCACGCTTTTTCCCCGAGTCAATGGAAGTCACGTGACATAGCACAAGTTAACATCAGCTCAATTGAACAGCTGTTTTCTATCAATTTTGAATTTTTGTTGATTCTTTTACAATGTCACATTAAAACATGTCGGTAAGGTGAATTCGTTGTAGCAGGATCATTCGGGTTACACGGGTTTTTGTGCGTCCTTCGTTAGGTTTTGTACCACTCGCCTCCGGCTCTTGGTGTAGAACCTAACCCGCTCTTGGTATAGAACCTAACACGGGACGCCTAAAATCCCGTGTACCCCCCGTGTACCCCCCGTGTAACCCCCGTGTAACCCCGTGTAACCCCGTGACCCTGCTACAAGAGTTAGGGTAACCCGCCTTGGAGGTGAATAATTTTCTCAGTTGGGGAATGAATTTCTTATACATGAGTGAGTGAGTGCGCTCACGTTTTGCGAGCGTCCGGCTCAAGGTAGAAAACCTAACGCGGGTCGCATAAAACCCCATGTACCCCTTGTGACCCTGGTACAACCTGTAGTGTACCATGACGTGAACATCACAGAGCATGTATCCGAGAAACTTTATCACAGAACATGTTATCATTTTGAAACAAAGTCAGTCTCACCACAACGCTATCCAACTTCCCCCACTATTTGTTGCGAATAATCCATTTAAGACGAGGAGCGATGGCGTGTCCTCGTGGTTAAAGTGTTCGCTCGTCACGACGAAGACCAGGGATCGAAACCTCAAATAGGTGCAATGTGTGTAACCCATATCTTGTGTCCCCCGCTGTGATAAAGCTGAAATATTGCTGACAGCGGCTCACTCACTCACTCACTCACTCACTCACTCGCTCACTCACTCACTCACTCACTCACTCACTCACTCACGCACTCACTCACTCACTCACTCACTCTGAAAACGAACACGGCGAAAACCTGCTGTCTCATGTATGAATTAATTTACCATTTCAGCAATATGCCTTCCAAGACAAAATATTATCTGGGTCAAGCAATGCCCATATGGTCAAGGAACGGATAGGGCGATCGTCAGAGGACAGAGACATCAATTTGATCAGGGTACGTCTCCTGTCTTCTTGAACAGGTCTGGGTCGGCGGGGTGGCCTAGTGGTTAAAGTGTTCGCTCGTCACGCCGAAGACCCGGGTTCGATTCCCCATATGGGTACAATCTGAAGCCCATTTGTTTTGTGTTCCCGCCGTAATATTGCTGGAACATTGCTAAAAGCGGAGTAAAACAGTATTCACTAACTCACTCACTTGAAGAGGTCTCGGACTCTTCCTCGACACCAAACTGACTGTCTAATATACAGTCAACCCCGTTTGTTCGGTCCGTTCCGTTCCCTGATGATTAAAACATACTGGAATAACGATTTTTTAGCAACACCACTGTAAAATGCATATGACGGTCCTCAATAGTAATTGTCCGGATACCGGGATCCAGATTAACCAAGTCCGGTTTTTAACGAGGTTCACGTGTTTGCTGTAAGTACGGAGACGTATCAACTATTTACATATAGCAACCCCGTTGTTATAGGGTGGAGGTGGGAAGGGGGTGGGGTGTGCACAGAGACACGGTGTTAGCTAGGGGTCACCCACTGATTCCAGTATTAGTCGACCCGTGAAGACCCGGGGTGGAATAGGTCTTCAGCAACCCATGCTTGCCGTAACTGGCGACTATGCTTGTCGTAAGAGGCGACTAACGGGATCGGGTGTTCAGGCTCGCTGCCTTGATCGTATCCCAATGGGGTAGATGGATGCTCATGATGTCAATCACTGGACTGTCTGGTCCAGACTCAATTATTTATCTCCCCGACGTCATATAGCTGGAATATTGCTTAGTGCAAACAACAAACAAACAAACAAACAAACAGTATCAGTCAGCATCTGCATGAAGTATTATGATCACAGAGGATTATCGAGCGCTTCCAGCTTAAACTCGAAAACAGCGTTATTTTTAGAGGGTGAGTCTACATGAAGCAATGTCCAAGAGTTAAGTATAGTGTCGAGTGTTGCCCCCGTCGTGTTGTTGGTGTGACAACACCCTAGCTGTTGTCATGTGTTTCCTCCCACATCAGCTGATACCCCTGAAACAACTGAAATGTTGTTCAAAGCGGCGATAAAACTCACCTCACTTACTCCTCCATCCAAATAATAACTTCCACAGCAGACGAGCATTTTACGAGCGCTTCCTTGTCACATTGCGCTGACTGAAATACTGGTGAAACGCTGTAATAATGAGTGAGTGAGTTGTGTTTAACGCCGCTTTTAACAGTATTCCAGTTATATCGCGGCGTGTCAGCTTAATTTCGGAGGAAAGCCCGAAGTGATGCAGGTCTCAGACGTTTATCACTACGGTGAAACCCACGGGCACAGGTATGGTGCTGACAAACCTAGAAACATAATCGAGGCGAACCGGGATTCGAACCAATCATAGGTTTCTGGCGTGTCCATGGGACGCAACTCTGCACAGCGAATCGCGGCGCCTTAGACGACTGGGCAACCCGTGCCCCCAAACACTGTAAAAGGCTACAGTAGTGGTGCTGACACTCAGAGAATCATATTCGACGTTAATCTGGGATTCGAACCGAGACCCTCAAGGGTCTCCACGGTGAACAGTGCGGGTTGCGGTGGCTGAAACAACGAGGCCAACCGGGTTCAGTCTCCACACGGAATCTTGTAGGTTTCTCTGTCTCGGATTCTGCGTGGTGACACCACTAGTGATCATTAGATTGGTGTAATTGTTTGGTTTACCATGTACGATTGTTATATTTTCTTTCTCTATTAGATTTCGGCGGATGCATCTGGACAAAAGAAAAGAACTATTTTCATTGACGCTGGTATTCATGCGCGGGAATGGATAGCACCGGCAACAGCGAACTACATCCTCTACCAGGTACCTCTCGGCAATTGTCAACTCGTTGCGTAATGGTTCACATATGTTTCCCCGTGTATTATATATATTTCAGATGCTATTTAAAGCACACCGGGACATGCGGAATTATACAGTATGACTGAACACATGTAACTGTGTCTTGGGTATATTTTTAATGCAAGACATATGCAAAATCAACAATTATTTCTGAGGGATTCTTTGACGAAGAACTTGAAATCATACGCGCATTCTGATTGGTTTGTCGTATTTTCGCACATAACATTCATCGATAGGGGGACGAGTCTCCTTGTAGGTTACGAAAAGGGACGAGTGGTGACGAATGCTTCAAGGCTCTTAAAACCAGCAACCATTGTATTCCACAACAGAACAAAAGACGATCAAACTGTGACCTCTCCCGACCTCTCCCGACCTCTCGCCTAAAGCTGCGTATACAGAATAATAAACAACATTAAACATGTAACATTGCTGTCTTCCAGCTGGCCTACAACGCCTCCTCTGCAGGTCTACTGAGGGACTTCAACTGGGAGATTGTCCCAGTGCTCAACCCGGACGGGTATCGGTATTCACACGTGGTGAGTTGACCACGCCCTCTATGATAGGGTCACACATGATGAGTTGACCCCGCCCTCTATGATAGGGTCACACACGGTGAGTTGACCACGCCCTCTATGATAGGGTCACACACGGTGAGTTGACCACGCCCTCTATGATAGGGTCACACACGGTGAGTTGACCACGCCCTCTATGATAGGGTCACACACGGTGAGTTGACCACGCCCTCTATGATAGGGTCACACGTGGTGAGTTGACCACGCCCTCTATGATAAGGTCACACACGGTGAGTTGATCACGCCCTCTATGAAAGGGTCACACGTGGTGAGTTGACCACGCCCTCTATGATAGGGTCACACACGGTGAGTTGACCACGCCCTCTATGATAAGGTCACACACGGTGAGTTGATCACGCCCTCTATGATAGGGTCACACGTAGTGAGTTGACCACGCCCTCTATGATAGGGTCACACATGATGAGTTGACCACGCCCTCTATGATAGGGTCACACGTGGTGAGTTGACCACGCCCTCTATGATAGGGTCACACGTGGTGAGTTGACCACGCCCTCTATGATAGGGTCACACGGTGAATTGACCACGCCCTCTATGATGGGGTCACACACGGTGAATTCACCGCACCCTTTATGATGGGGTCACACACGGTGAGTTGACCACGCCCTCTATGATAGGGCCACACACTGTGAATTGACCACGCCCTTTATGATAGGGTCTCACACGGTGGGTTAACCACGCCTTCTATGATAGGGTCACACACGGTGAATTCACCGCACCCTTTATGATGGGGTCACACACGGTGAGTTGACCACGCCCTCTATGATAGGGCCACACACGGTGAATTGACCACGCCCTTTATGATAGGGCCACACACTGTGAATTGACCACGCCCTTTATGATAGGGTCACACACGGTGGGTTAACCACGCCTTCTATGATAGGGTCACACACGGTGAGTTGACTACGCCCTCGATGATAGGGTCACTCACAGTGAGTTGACCACGCCCTCTATGATGGGGTAACACACGCTGAGTTGACCACGCCCTCTGTAATAGGGTCACGGTGAATTGATCACGCCCTCTGTAGTAGGGTCATGATGAGTTGACCACGTGATAGGGTCACACACGGTGAGTTGACCACGCCCTCTGTGATAGGGTCACCCACGGTGGGTTGACCACGCCCTCTATGATAGGGCCACACACGGGGAGTTAAATACGCCCTCTGTTGTTATGTCTGACCTGGGGTGGTTATACCAATACCGGTCACCCACACTGCACATTTAGATACTGTCAATCAAATGTCAGAGCTCTTGCTGATTTTGAGCAAAAAAATAATTTGTCAGAGCATTTAAGATCATCTGTGGAGATTCCAGGTTAGAATAGGTCCTCAGCTGGTCGGAAGCCACTAACTGGTGGTGGGGCTCGGTCACCTGGTTGTTTGCGTGTCATCGTTCCCCGACGGCATAGCTCGTTGCTTATAATATCAATCACTGGATTGTCTAGTCCAGATCCAATTATTTACAGGCCCCGTCATACAGCTGGAATATTGCTTAGTGCGGCGTGAAACAACAAACGAACAAACAAAACACATTTTGAGATATTGGCGAACTGTTGACCCAGTAAAGAGCCGGCGAGACTGTATAAAGAATGCACTGTTTCCTGATTCTTTGTCGCAGAGTTCCCGATACTGGAGGAAAAACCGCCAAGGAAACACAGGCAGCCAATGTATCGGCACTGACCTCAACAGAAACTTCGGCTACCCACAACATATGCCCAGTGAGTTCACGTATATTTTCATTCGCTAAAATACCACGTATTCCGACAGTGATCGTCAGCTTGAAGTTCAGGTCAAGACGTAAGAAGTGCCAAGTATGAAACTGTGTATGTGTGTTTAATTTTTTGCACTAAATATTGCACTTATACAATTATACAAACAAAATGGTGTTTGGATGACTTGAACCTACTAGGGCTGCCAATTTGCCCGAGCTCAGTGTCACTTTAAGGTTGAATTCATCTTGAGTGAGTGAGTATTGTTTTACGCCGCTTAGCAATATTCCAGTAATATCACGGCGTTGACACCCGAACTATGCTTCACTCATTGTATCCAAGTCGGGAATCGAACCCGGGTCTCAATTCATGGTGGGGTTCAGACCGATGGTACATATAGGGTTCAGATCCATTGGATAGGGTTCAGAGCCGTGCTGTTCTTCTGTTCATCGTCACGAGATGGCTGAAATATTGCCGATGTGACGTTAAATTTCACGCACTCTCTTCAGAAATCTTCAGTTCATAGAAGGGTTTAGACACAAAGTATGGTTAAGATCCATGGTACAAAAAGGGCACAGACGAATTCCAGAATCTGGAATCTGCGACATGCTTCCTATTTAGAGTTGGTCTTATTGTGTAGCATGCTTCTTATTTAGAGTTGGTCCTTTTGTGTAGCATGCTTCCTGTTTAGAGTTGGTTGTATTGTGTAGCATGCTTCCTATTTAGAGTTGGTCTTATGGTGTGACATGCTTCCTATTTAGAGTTGGTCTTATTGTGTAGCATGCTTCCTGTTTAGAGTTGGTCTTATTGTGTGGCTTGCTTCCTATTTAGTGTTGGTTTTATTGTGTAGAATGGTTCCTATTTAGAGTTGGTCTTATTGTGTGGCATGCTTCCTATTTAGAGTTGGTCTTATTGTGTGGCATGCTTCCTTTTTAGAGTTGGTCTTATTGTGTGGCATGCTTCCTATTTAGTGTTGGTCTTATTGTGTGGCATGCTTCCTATTTAGTGTTGGTTTTATTGTGTAGAATGCTTCCTTTTTAGAGTTGGTCTTATTGTGTGGCATGCTTCCTATTTAGAGTTGGTCTTATTGTGTAGCATGCTTCCTATTTAGTGTTGGTCTTATTGTGTGGCATGCTTCCTATATAGAGTTGGTCTTATGGTGGAATGCTTCCTATTCAGAGTTTGTCGTATTGTGTGGCCTGCTTCTTATTTGTTGTTGGTCTTATTGGGTAGCATGCTTCCTAATTAGTGTTGGTCTTATGGTAGAATGCTTCCTATTTAGAGTTGGGCTTATTGTCGCTTCTCATGTAATAAATAATGAACAAGTTAAATTGTGTGGACACATCCCTCCAAAACCTCAAAACTTCAACTGAGGAATATGTATATTAATAAGTGCCAAAGAAAGACCGAGCCACACTCCGGTAAAGTTGTGACTTTGCCTTGCACCAGTGCCTCAATGTTGCATATCACGTGGTCGGACTGATCTCTGCCTGGTACACAGACGGAGTATGAAAGTGCAGTGTAATTTCTACATTGCTTTGCACAATTAGACGACCCCGTGAAGATCTGGGTAAGAATCGGTCTTCAGCTTGTCGTAAGAGGCCACCCTGGGATCGGGTGGTCAGACACGCTGACTTGGTTAATGTAATCGTATCCCATCTATGCTCATGATGTGCACCACTGGATTGTCTGAGCTCGATTCGATTATTTACGGACATATATCTGGAATATCACTGAATGCTGCGTTAAACAAACAAACAAACAAACACACACACACACATAAAGATGGCCTACACACACACACACACACACACACACACACACACACACACACACACACACACACACACACACACACACACACACACACAAAGATGGCCTACTTCATCATAGTTTCAAACCGTTTTATTCCCAAGGACATTGACTTATTGTTATCTTAGATATTCTTAACCTATTTTTTAATGCAGGTAATGATAGAATGTCCTATCACATGTTCATAAAGTCATGGAAATGTATTCATGCTATTTGTCTCTTGCAAAATCACTGCTACATTCGCGATAGTCAGGGGTATGAGAATATGTGTTTACACGTCGAAGTGACAGTGCCATTAACTACCCACGTCTCAGCGTCTCTGCACGTGGAACTGTAAAACTATTGTAAACAAAGGACACAAACGCGAACGGAAATATGTTTTTTGGCTCTGCATACATCAAACTTCAACATGTCATGGCATATGTTTATCAATTATTTTTCTCTCGTCAAAAGACGATGCTGTCATATTAAAACTGGCTTTATATGTCAAAAATGCAATTTCCTTTAAAACGTAACATTTATCCGAATATGTGAAACTCTGTACTTCTATGTATCAACTATGTATCAACTACTAGTATGTATCAACTATATAGATGTGGGGCGGAGGCCTTAATGCTGGTTGGTTGGTTGGTTGGTTGGTTGGTTGGTTTGTTGTTTAACGCCGCACTCAACAATATTCCAGCTATATGACGGTGGTCTGTAAATAATCGAGTCTGAACCAGACAATCCAGTGATTAACATCATGAGCATCGATCCACGCAATTTGGATCGATGACTTGTATCAACCAAGTCAGCGAGCCTGACCATCCGATCCCGTTAGTCGCCTTTTACGGCAAGTATATATCATGACTTGACTTTTCCAAAATGAAGAAGACTAAGATCGGATTGCAATATTGAATAGACTGTTTCTCTGTGACCGTGACGGGCCGTCAGAGGTTGAGCGCAAGGAACTGTGGGTAGGAGAGAGAACGAGCCCTACAGTCAGCACCCCCTGATTCCCATCAAAAGGACGTCATGCCGAACATGACCTCTACAGTATATGACCTTTATGTTGTAGGCGCTGGCGGCAGCTCCAACCCCTGCAGCGACATCTACTCCGGTCCCAGCAAGTTAAGTGCACCCGAGTCTAGAGCCCTGAAGAACTACCTGGACTCCCACAACGACACCATCGTGGCCTACCTCAGCCTCCACTCCTTCGGCCGCTACATCCTCTACCCGTGGGGATACAGCCTCACCGCAACCCCATCTGATGCGGCCGAGCTGGTAGGTGGGGTCCATATGTAACGGGCAGTGTTGAGAGCTCTGTCTCCCCATCTGATGCGGCCGAGCTGGTAGGTGGGGTCCATATGTAACGGGCAGTGTTAAGAGCTCTGTCTCCCCATCTGATGTGGACCGCATCCGTGGTCTAGTGGTGGAGCGTCCGCCCGGAGAGCGAAAGGTCCGGGGTTCGATCCCCGGGCGCCTCATACCAAAAGAAGTTAAAAGATGTAACGTGTTACCCTGCCTGGCGCTCGACATTAAGGGGCTAAAACAAGGACTATCTGACTCGGAGTCAGTAAACTGTGTCTGAGTGGGGTATTCATGTTAACCTGCGGCATGGTATTACAGTTGGCTAGCACTATAAATCGGCATCAGTCCGGACTAGTACAAGCAGAGAGAAACATACACACGTGCATGCACGTCGCTATATAAGTGCAATCATCTTGGACGCGACGTTAAACCCGACTTCTCCTCACCTCATCATCTGATGCAGCAGAGGTGGTGGGTGTGGTCCATGTGTAACAGACTGTGTTGGTGGCTGTGAGAGCACGATGCGTGGACGTGGATACACTGAGTGAGGCGGTTACCGATGCCGTGCGTCGTGCCTGTGTCGTGCAGCCAGTCATGCAGTACCGGCTTTCCTCCAAAGATATCACCGTGTTTATCATTAATTTTGAATTGTGTTACCACACAGGACTAGGATGTCTCCGTATCCTCAACGTGCCAATCTAGTCGTAAAAATCGACTGATCAATGATCGTTTTTTCATGATGTATAATCTGGATGATTTTAGTTTTGTTTGTTTGTTGTCTTTTGTTCTTTAACGCCACACTCAGCAATATTCCAGCTGGATGACGTCGGTCTGTAAATAATCGAGTATTTTACGGCGGCATGAGAGGGTTGCTGTGTGATTGTTCCAGTGTCTGGATTGTGAGAGGTGGGCTAATGCCAATATATTCCCTGCCGAGGCTCCATTGCTCTAAAGGCTTTGAATTGTGCTGACTGTGACGTGAAATGACACTCACTCACTCACTCACTCTCTCACCATGTTTTCAGGAGCGAGTGGCCCAGGTCGCCAACAAAGCCATGAGCGATGACTATATCACCGGAAGTTCCTCAAAAGCGCTCTGTGAGTAGCAAATATCTTTCGCCTCAGATCCCATCACTGACCCATGCATGGTGTACAGACAGGAAGCAATGAAATACCTGTGTAGATTGCCCCGGCCGTGACTTTCTCTTGTGATTTTAAAGTCAAGGAATTAGAGGGGTTGGTGGAATTAGGGATACCCTAGTGGTTAAATCTTTCGGACTCTGAAGGGTCCAGGTTGGCTTCCCCACATAGGTACGATGTAGGAAACCTATTTCTGGTGTCCCCCGCTGTGATATTGCTGGAATACTGCGGCTTAAAACTCAACTCACTCACTTAAGGAATGTTTAATGGACATCGTTACGTAACATTGAAATCTACAATATCTTACTTACATGTGTGTACGAGGGCGGAAACTAAAAGTACAAATTTCAGTGCTATAACATACAAAAACTAAATTAGTGGCAGATAATGAGATGGACTCTTAATTACAAAGCGATTTTTTGGGAATTCGGGAGCTTTCGATCTTGTAACGATAAATATTGAGAGCTGGTTGCCACTCCTCCCGTGGCCCATGGCATCGACAGCATTTTCAGACTGAAATAAAAAAATAACACCGATAAGAACCCATCCTTGATTGACAAGTGTATTATATCTCCATTCTACTGTGATACCTACACTGGAGACATTCGCCACCATAATTTCATTTCGGCAGTGACGTCACCACCTCCATACGACCATCTCGAACTCAGCAGAGAATGTGTCTCGCTCATGAGAGTAATATCATTGGAGGGCTGTTAGTGTGGTGCCATACGAATCGGGCTATGGTAGCGAATGGATCTATCTTGTCCTTTGTGAATGCGGGAATTTATCAAAATAAAGTGGAGATAGAGCCTGCCTCCCAGACCTTAGAGAATTCTTTTTTTTTTAAATGAGTCAACTCAACTTTAGAATGATTTGATAAGTCTAGATTGCCTAAGCTTCAGGTAAGGGTTGTTCTGGGCTCCTGTTGGATTTTATTCGTTTTATTTTGTAGATATATATAAATATATTTAAATACGAGAACTTTCTCGGTAACTTTCTGGGTGCAAATGTCAGTCCAGTGAAAATACGCACACTGGTTAAAGGAGGAGGAGGATGACATGGCCAATAATTATGTCTCCTTCCAGACGTGGCGGCCGGGGGGTCTGACGACTACGCCAAGGGCGGGGCTAAGATCGACTACAGCTACACCATAGAGCTCCCCCCCGGGATGAGTAGCCGCTACAACTTTGCCCCTCCCACCTCCTCCATCCCCGGATATACCAGCGAGGCATGGAACGGCGTCCAGGCTCTAGCCAGGGAACTGGCAAAAGTAACCGCGATCGCCGCTCCAACAACGACCAAGATCACTACGACTACCACGACGACACAGAAACCTATCCCGGTCCAGTCTCCCTACTACTGGTTATACCAGTGGCTGAAAGACCAGGGTGTTATTTTGGGGAAATAAAAAGTCGGTTTCCAGGTGGCAGTGCCAGAGGTCGTTCTGTCGTTTATTGAACTTGAATTGGAAGTATTTCACCAGATAAGCATCTGGTGCCACATATCGGCTGCATTACCTGTATAGAAGTCTCTGGTTGCTAGGCAACGTGAGGTGAAATGGGGATTCAAGCGACGTGTGTTCCCTTGTATTTGTGTGCGCGCGTGTGTTTGTCTGTTTGTCTGTTTGTTCGTGTGTGTGGTGTTTGTGTATGTATGTGTGGTGTTTGTGTGTCGTGTGGGTCTGTGCGGTGTGTGCGTGTGCGTGTGCGTGTGTTGTGTTGTGTGTGTCGTGTGCTTGTACCAGCTAATGCCGGTTTTATAGGGCTAATCCACTGGGATACCATGTCGCAGCTTAAAATGGATACCCTACTTAGACCAACCTGTCCTTTTTTATCCCTGTAAACAACAACCTTTCCGTTCTCAGGGCAGCTTCTATCCACTTCACCTCGGAGAAGGTCCTGTCTGCTAGGGAAGAGTGAGTGAGTGAGTTTTCCTTCATGTGGAAGTGAGCAACATTGAGGCTGTTACATTGAGGTCTGTATATTATCGTGTCTGGGTCAGGCCAACCAGTGCTTGATATGGAATCCTAGGAGGGACATTGTCGCGTTGTCGCCACTACAAAAACAAACAAAAAATGTCACAATTAACCAAAGCGTGACAATGCGACAACGCGACATTTTGGCCATTTGTCGCATTGTCGCGCTTTGGTTAATTTTGACACTTTTTGCTTGTTTTTGTAAGGGCGACGACTCGACGCGACAATGTCTCTTCTTGGATTCGATAGACAACAGGAACAACCATCCACGCTGTCCATGAGGTACGATGGACGAAACACAAGAAACCAAGTTATGCATCGGGAAATGGGGACCAATCCTGCCCCGGAATCTCCTAGGGCACCAAGCAAGATTTATAACAACACTATTCATCACGTTATACACATGTACTTCCGGGATGTCGGGGCACGGGTGGCCCAGTCGTCTAAGGCGCCGCGATTCGCTCCCTTAGTCACGTCAAAAATCCTATGGTCGTGGGTTCGCCCCGATTATGTTTCTAGGTTTGTCAGCACCATACTCGTGCTCGTTGGTTCAACGAAGTGGTAAACGTCTGAGACCTGCATCACTTCGGGCTTTCCTCCACATTAAACTGGCACGCCGTGATATAACTGGAATACTGTTAAAAGCGGCGTTAAACCCAATTCACAATTTACGGGATGTATTAAGTGTGTCTTTGCAGCTAGGTTGCTTAAAGAATAGTCGTAGAATTAAAATAGAAACCAATGATTTCAAGATACCTTCTGAATCAGATTGGTCACACTTTCACGCCGCTTTCAACAGTATTTCAGTTACATCACGGCGTGTCAGCTTCATGTGGGAGGAAAGTTTGAAGTGTTGCAGGTCTTAGACGTTTTACCGCTTTGTCGATTCCCACGTGGACGAATATGGCGCTGACAAACCGTAACATATTCAGGGCGAATCTGGGATTCGAACCCACTATCAAAGGTTTCCGGCAGCCTAAGGGACGCAACTCAGTACAGCGAATAATTATGCCTTATGATAGACGACTCGGCACCCGTGTCCTTATGAAAGACACGTCACATTAACCAGTATTATGGCCCATCTAGGGAGTGTCGTTTCTGATATGAATGAACTGACACGTTCCTGTTAGTGTTTAATCCACGGATTACATGTAAGTGTACGAAAAACACTACTTCTGAGTCTCTATATAACTGCACGTCCTCGCCACTCGCTCCTGTCTCAACACTGGGCATTCAAGTCAGTTTGTCAGGGTTCACACATCTGACAATGTCAATGTAAAGTATTTCTCTTTCAAATGACCTCCTCACAGGTTCCAAGTGTAGGTTTGGACAATATATAAAGGTAACACTTTCCACATAAATACAGTGACAAGAACACCCTAGTTTTTCAAATGTTTGTTTGTTTGCTTATTGTTTAACGCCGCACTCAGCAATATTACAATATATGACTGCAGTATGTCTATAACCGACTCTAGGTCAGACAATCCAGTGATTGATATCATGAGCATGTGTTCTCTCACCAGGCAGTTTCACACGTGACTTGATAGGGTCCCCTTAACCAAGTAGCCCCGCAGAGCAATAACTACTTACTGGTTGGTGGTCGGGAGGGGGCACAGTCTGGGGGGACACGGGAAAACGTTCAGGTGGCATGTTTGTTTGTTAGTTTGTTTGTTTTGTTTGTAGTTTCAAGCCGCACTCAGCAATATCCCAGCTATATGACGGCGGTCCAGACAATCCAGGGATTGACATCATGATCATCAATCCACGCAATTGGGATGCGATGACATCCATCAACCAAGTCAGCGAGACTAACCACCCGATCCCGTTAGTCGCCTCTTACGACAAGCATAGTTGCCTTTTGTGGCAAGAATGGGTTGCTGAAGACCTATTCTAACTCGGATCTTCACGGGTCGTGTTTTTCATTTGGCTATAGTTAATCTGTCATGTCTTGTCATCGGGTGTTCCTTAACATCTTTTGAGTAGGATACATCAAGTCACGACACTGTATTTGTGAGGAAAGTGTCACAACTTACTGAGTATTATTTTAGTAGTATTCCTTCTCACAGTCCGTGTGATAAAGTGTCCATATCAACTTTCTATGGTAACACCACCAATTCAGCTAAACCTCCGTATCCTGTACTGCACATGTCACCGCAACTCAGAGATGGTATAACGAGTATTAGAACACGGAATTCCTTTCATTTGTAAAAGAGTAAGTCGGTTCTGATTAACTGGGCTACTTCTCCTCCTACAAAGACAGGGGCAGAAGAGCTTGTAGAACACGTTCCTGAACCTTCGTCCCAGCAGACAATAGAAAATAAAGTCCGTAGCCGAATTAACGCACAGCATCGTGTCACTGACAGCAAACAAGTACACTTTGTGGGGGTTCGAAAATAGGTCCAGGTCAGCCAGCAGCAGGATGTGGTATGTCAGCGGAATCACGCAGCAGACGAAGAAGCAGGTCGTGATCCCAAGGACAACGATAGTCAGGCCATCTTCTTTATCAGTTGGCGAGGTGGACGCGGTATGGCGGGGACTGATTGTTTTGGTGACCCTGGCGCTGATACGTAGATGGACGATGAGGTTGATGTTGAGCACGATGATGATGGTGTAGGGAAGGATGTAGAACATCGCCATCGTCAGGTACACCTCGTACACTCGTGTATAGAGGAACGCTTGCGATGCGTCGGTCTGAGTCAGGGTGCCGTTCTCCACCCAGTCTGCTGATGACAGTTGGTGGAAGACGACACACCGGGGGATGTTGAACCCTAGGGAGAAGACGAAGACGCCGATTGCCACCCTTCTTGCGTTGTTCGTCGTCCAGATGGACCTCGCTCTCAGGGGCGTCACAACGACGACGAACCGCTCCACCGTGACTGCGACAGTGGAGTAGACGGACCCCATTTGCGCGATGTATCGGAACGGGTAGAAGACCGTCACGGTGACGAACAGATGGTCCTCCTCGTATTCCGGCAGCCCGGCGATGATGACGACAGCGCCGGTGAAGAGGAACACGGTGTCGTACACGACGAGGGATATAAGGAGGATGGATGTCGCCGACCAGATTGACTTGTGAGTGAGAACCCGAATTGACACGATGTTGGCGGCGATGCCGAAGCATGCGAGGGCAATCCTGACGACGCCGAGAATGAAGAATGGAAGCAGGGAGTAGGACAGCATTTCGTCGTCCACGTTGTCAACAGACGCCATTGCTCCGCGAGCAGTTCTCCCTCAGTCCTGAACTGGTATTTGTCCTATGGCACGTTAACGCAGCACGCTGTTAGTTAATGAGGTTCGCGTGACCAACTGCTCCACTGTCTCTGTATACGTCTAATACAGCATCGTTGAGGGTAATTACTGCAGCTATTCCTCACAAAGGGAGTCTCCTCTTAGATAATGATGAACATTCGTTGACTGCACATCTCACACACGGCACAGTTACTTTCCAGCCAACTTGCCATTCAATTCACTCCTTGACCAATGGACACAAGGAATCTGCAAAAAAAAGCAATACCCAATAAAAACATTCGTCGCCACTCGTCCCTTTTCGTAACCTGCAAGAAGACTCGACCCCCTATCGATGAATGTTATGTGCGAAAATACGACAAACCAATCAGAATGCGCGTATGATTTCAAGTTCTTCGTCAAAGAATCCCTCAGAAATATTTTTTCTTTTACATGTCTTGCATTAAAAGATGTACCCAAGACACAGTTACATGTGTTCAATCATACTGATTAATTCCGCATGTCCCGGGGTGCTTTAAATTGCATCTGAAATATATATAATACATGGGGAAATATATGTGGACCATTACGCAACGAGTTGACAATTGTTTTAGGTATGGCCATTTGAAGACGGAACCCGGTCGCAAAATTGGCCATGAGAGGGGCGCGAGAGAGTGAGAGGTGTCTAATGTTCCTATAGGAGTTACATATGAAGATAAAATGGTATTCATCTTCTATCCCTGGATTACAAAGAGGACACAAACGTAGTTTAAATCAATCCCCGACCATCTCCCTTCGTTAACTTTCAACCTTAACAACCCCGCTCTCTGTCTTATCATCAAGTTACGTTGTTTTCATCTGTTAAAAGAATTAATTGACTAAAATGCTAATGAAAGGTGCAATGCCTCGGTGAGGAAACACACTTCCCGAATATAGGGATCTGTTATAAGGTTAAAAATGCATCTCAGAAACTCATGATAATAAATAGAACCATTATAGCTGCAATGAGGAGTTGCATTAGATATAGTTTGTGACAGAACTTGTAATTGGAAAGGAATCAATAGAGAAAAGACATTTGACATTTATCACAAGTGTATTCTGGACATTTCACATTTATCATTGGATTGGTCTATGGCTATCGCCCATGAGTTAATGAAACAAATGGGGAATTTCAAAGCACAATTCATTTGGAGCTTCGGAGCGAGTCACAAAATCAATAGAGAGATGAGCAATCTGGCACGTAGGCTTTGGTATTTTTCCGATTACGACACACATGAGTCATGGTCAGATCTAAACTTGTAACGAATCAAATGGAGGTATTGAGACATGTGACAAGGACAGGCCAGGCTCGAACACTATAAAATGATACCCTCAACATTAGGAGAGGAGAGCGCGGTTTGCAATCGATCGAGTCGAATCCCAATCGTTCTAAGTTTCCCCCAGCTAGTGACGAGCCTGGCCAGTCTGATCCTGTCCTGTATTGATGGATGGGCTGAGAGTAAGTAAAACTATGTGAGTATAAACTGGTGTTGCGTTTCTTTATTAAGCGTGTGTGAATGCTGATAGACAACTTGGAGTAAGTGTCATTAGACCAATCACTCCTTGACGGAGCCGAGCCGTGGTGGACAAGGCGAGGGCAATGCCATGGCTTAATTGACCACAAGGACCAGGAACGGCAATACGTTTAGTAACTGTAGCAGGGTCGCACTGGACGCCCGAAAGCAGTTACGACAGATCCTGGGCTAGCCTATTGGTCAAAGCCTCGCCTCGCAGCGTGGAAGGCCCAGGTTCGGCTCTACAGATGGGTACAAGGTATGGAGCCAATTTCTGGTGTTCCCAGCCGTGATGTTGTTGGATTAATGCTAAAGCGGGCGTAAAACCATACTCACTCACTCACACACTCCTAAATACATGCCTACCCTAGGGTCCATCGGACCCACGGTCCATTCCCTACCTGAGACTTACATCTACTCCGGTCCGGTCAATGAATTGCTCTACAAAGTTGTGAAGTAAAGTACAAAGAGGAATACGTCTTTACTATATTCATTTCAAAATATTTCTCAAACAACTAAGAATTACTTAGGTTAGTCTGTCTTAAAGTCCCTGAGTCATATTATTTTCCCTTCCGCCAAGCCATTTCTGTAATCCAAAAACTTAACTGAAGCAAGTCTAGATGTTCCTCCGGTCTCGCTGGTTATTTCAACCTTAAAAACTTCAATTTCAATGGAGTTATTTATTTCTATCAGAATTATATATATTTTCAGAGACTAAGCTTTAGTCTAAACTACTAAAGATATGAACTACACAAGCGTGCGATCAACACGTGTCTGTACATGCTACACCTACCTGCGAAGACCCCCCGGAGACTGTTCTCTCAGGCAGTTTCACACGTGAGTTGATAGCATCCCATTAACCAAGTTGTCTCTCAGAGTAATAACTACAGACTAGAGGCACAGCCCGGGGGTGAAACACGGGAAAACGTTCAGGTGGCATGTTTGTTTGTTTGTTTGTTTTGTTTGCAGTTTCTCGCCGCACTCAGCAATATTCCAGCTTTATGACAGCGGTCCAGACAATCCAGAGATTGCGATTATGATCATTGATCCACGCAATTGGGATCGATGACATGCATCAACCAAGTCAGCGAGCCTGACCACCCGATCCCGTTAGTCGCCTTTTACGGCAAGCATGGGTTGCTGAAGACCAATTACAAACCGGTCTTCATGGGTGATTATGTTTCAAGAGATGCAGAATAATGTATCGGTGCTGCACTCTTTGATTAGAAACTATTGTGTAAAACAGATAAATAATAATAATATGCCATTGGTTCTATGATTTTGTCCGCAGATGTAATTAAACCATAGCAACATGTTTGGTTGTGTACATTTTCAATTCTTAATCGCAAAAAGCATGTTTTACAGGAATAACGTTTGACTATATGATCCGTACAGCATATCTGATAATTTATGATAATTTGTCTCTCATAGTTCTATGGAATGGTTCTGTACATTTTACCAAGGTTTATTTGTACAAGGTTGTTTTATGTATGTACAGGAGTGAGACATGAATAAACTATTGTCTGGCTGGCTGGCGTACCTTGCTGACGTGGATCACAATACTGATCACTGGATTGTCTGGCATTAAACAACCTTTTGGTTGCCTGTCCGCCGGCAACAAATGAAGACAGCTACCTCCTCTTAAAAGACAACAGAGAAGTTTCAAGTTTTCACAGTATTGGAGTATGAGATCCCATAAGCATAGCCATCGACACCCCCATTCCATCAACAACACCACCACCCCCCACCCCCCTCCTGGGGTCAGTGAACACGTGTCAGAGTGATTTCGGTAATTACTAAGTTAATAACCTGTCTTCTCCCCACTGCACCGTATTCTGGGAACCCATCTCACAGATCTCGGAAATGCCCGTAACAGCGATACCATCTGGTCTGGTCACGACTAGCCGACGACTATGTAGGAGGTGGAGTCGTGGTAGTTGTGTGTTTACAGAAGGGGGATCATTGAAGCGGAACTGTAGTTACGTTTGTAGAAGGGGTGGTTGGACAGCCTAGTGGTCAAAGCGTTCACTCGTCACGCCGAATAACCGGGTTCGATTCCTCATACGGGTACAATGTAGGAAACCCATTTTCCCGTGTCCCCCGCCGTGATATTGCTGGAATATTGCTAAAAGCGGCGTAAAACCATACTCACTCACATTTGTAGAGGGGATAGGCTTCACAAGAGCCCAAACGTGGCACACACGGGATGCGTCATATTAGCAATGAGGAAACCTGCAGTTAGCTGATGTATTCATGAAACTTAGAACATGACATTTTTCTTTTGAGTTCTTGCCTGTTTTGGACTTATAACAAACTAATTGTTGGTCAGGCGAAACCTGCAACACAGAGTGAGTGAGTTGGGTTTAACGCCGCTTTGAAAAGCATTTTAGTTATGTCATGGCGTGTCGGCTTTATGTGGGAGAAAAGCCCGAAGTAATGCAAATCTCACACGTTTACCACTCTGGCGAAACCCACGAGCACGGTATGGTTTGTTTGTTTGTTTTTCAAGGCCGCACTCAGCAATATTCCAGGTATATGACGGCGGTCTGTAAATAATCGAGTCTGGACCCGACAATCCAGAGATTGACATAATCAACCCAGTGTCAACCCACGCAATTGGGATACGATGACATGCACCATCCGAATCAGCGAGCCTGACCACCCGATCCCGTTAGTCGTCCCTCACGACAAACGTCGTCGACTTTTATGGCAAGCATGGTCTGTTGAAGACCCGGATCTTCACTGGTGGTACGGGAATGATGCTGACAAATCTAGAAGTATAGCCGGGATGAATGTCATGAAGATGGTGTGAATGGGTTTTCAGGAAGCAAGTGTTTTAATAGCACATGAGTATGAGGAGCAAACAATAGACAGCGACTGTTTATAGATACTTTTTTTTCTTGAAATATGGAAAATCATACCTTTTCACATAATTTAGATACATTTATTTAACTGATGTCAGAGATCCAAAACTTGTAAGTGGAATGAAACAAAAGAAAAATAGACTAGTTGTTTTGAACATGTCTGATAATGTTTTAGTCTTGCATTACTAGTTCGGACTGAATCCGGTTGTATTGTGCTATCCTGAGATATCATGCCACAGCTTAACATGACAACCCCACTCAGACACAGTATATACCGACTCCGAGCCGACAGGTCCTTGTTTTATACCCTTATACCGACCGCCAGGCAGGGTAACATCAAATACCATCTTTAAACATATTTTGGTACGGCGCGACCAGCGATGGATCCAGGCCGACACTCTACCCATGACACCACAGAGACGCTCTGCTCATCAGTCCGCCGCACGTGCAAGGCCCTGTTCTCACCCGGATTGAGAGTTAGTGAGTGAGTATGGTTTTACGCCGCCTTTAGCAATATTCCAGCAATATCACGGCGGGGGGACACCAGAAATGCTTTTCGCAAACGGGT